ACCGAATCAATGTCTTTCAATAATTATGAATTTTTCGATGTTTAATTTAGCAGTCAAAGTGTGCCGCTCGATGCACTTTACTATGAAAAAACCGTAAAAGTGGCTAAAAATCACGCAACGTGTATACGATTTTTATGCGCATCCGATTTCAGTAATCTCCTATGAAAATACACCAAATACACCTATTTTAAAAGGATCGGTTAAGAACCGCGGAAGTGCCTCCTCAATCGATTTTGGATAACATACGCATATTATTCGCGTATCGATATATTTTTGACCTATTTTCACACAGATTCGCGATTATAATAACACAAGAATGAATGTATGTGAAATCAATTGCAGTATTTCCCGCATTTAAGGTACCTATATCCGCCGTTTTATTGGGTGGAATTGAACATGGATGGACTCATTAGATCCGGCACGTAAAAAAAACTAAAATCACGCGGGGTTCCAAGAAATTTGAATGGAATTTCTTAATTTTAGACTCAAAAAATATTTTTTTTATAAAAATTTACGCACCAAATTTTCTTTTTTGGAACCCAATTGCAAAGAAGCTATGGTGAGCACATTCATGAGATATACACTAAACGAAGCAAAATCACGAGTTCTACAATCCTATAATTAGTTTAGTCCATTATCTGGATGCGAGTCCTAATTATAAGAAAAATTAAAAAAAAAAACACCGAAAATCCGGCTTCAAAATGTCAGCATCCTTTTTGGGTGGATGTAGTGACTATATCGAAAAATCATACATTAGAACCATATTGTCCATGGGGTATTCTGCAACTTAGTCACTGATCACACGTGCGTGCGTTGTGTAGTTTAGCCACAAATCAGGAACGAACACAAAAAAACTCGTTGGCTTCAACACATTTCCACCCATGTTTTTACATCACAGCTTCCACGCAACTTATTATTTATTACCAATATTTTGATTTTGAGATTTTGACAAGAACATTTCATTTTATAGAAATGAATTTAAATTATAAGCAATATGTTCATATTTCGCGAGTTATAACCTTGCAAACCTCAGCTTCAAGGAATTTAAAAGGTTTTTGTAATTTCCCATATTCAGATTCTCTCCAAACTCTTTCATTCCCAATATGAACATTGTCGCAATTTCTAATATATCAATCCCTTATTAAAATATGAAATCAGGGAAAAATATGTTTAAGAAATAAAAATTTTAAATCCGTGCTTGTATCTCTAAACGTCCTTCAAAATGTTTTTCTCTTCACGTAAACACCTATATAGTACGTCAAAAAGTATTTTCCATAGGTTCATGTAAGGAAAAATATCCAAACCGCAGTTGATTTTTTAAATATGTTGAAATTATAACAGAGTCAGCATTTTTTTAAATAGACGATTAGTGTTTCAAGCGGGGATTTTTCAAAACTATTTTTAAGAATTTTTAGGAATATTTTTGAGTTTAATAACATTTTTACAACAACTGTTGCGTCTGGATATAGCAAAGGATTGGTCCAAACCGTCGGTTTATGGAAAAATATTAAAAATCCACGCATATATTGGAGTGTGAATAATCCACAACTATGTCGGAATTTGAAAAAATATTTTTTAAAATTCACGCCTATGTTGGTTTCTAGAAAAAATATTTAAAAATGTTCACTATATCATAATTATTAATGGCCTAAACCCAGCCACCAATTTGGAAGATCACGTTCCAATTTGTTGTTTTCTATTTGGTCTTTCCATCTAATTCGTGGTGTTCCCCTTCTACGGAAATCATCAGTAGGCTCGTTTTTATATATGTTTTGAGCTGGGGCATTCTCATTCATCCGCACAACATGGCCTAGCCACCGTAGTCGCTGCAGCTCAATACGACTGACTATGTCGATGTCCGCGTATAAATTGTAGAGCTCGTGGTTCATTTGACGCCGATATACACCGTCGACGCAGATCGGCCCGTAGATCTTTCGGAGAATTTTTCTTGCAAACACCCCAAGAGCTGCCTCATCTGCTTGCGCAAGTACCCATGCTTCAGATCCATATAATAGTATCAGATCCATATAATAGTATCAGCGTCTTGTAAAGTGTGAGTTTGGTCTGGCGGGACGTGGCCTTGGTTCTAAACTTCTTACTTTGACCATAGTAGCATCTGTTGGCCATCACAATCTTTCTCTGAATTTCGAAACTGATGTCTTTCGTTTTATTTATAGCGAAACCAAGGTATATAAAGCCTTTGACTACCTCGAAGCTGTAGTTCTCAAGTTCCACAGTTGGTCCGAGTCTACTGGATGTATTGCGCGTTGATACCATCAGCTTGCTCTTCTCGCCGTTTACTGCCAGACCTACTTTGGAAGACTCCTTTTCAATTTGTTCAAAGGTGGCTGTTACCGCTTGCAATGTTCGATCCATTATATCCATGGCACCGCGGGGAGGTCAGTGTCCACAATTGAGATGATAGATGGACCAAGATAAGCCTGGACTTCGCCATGTTAAAGCCAATCAGAGCCGTGGCTTGGTATCTATCATCCCCTACGCCACCCAATATTTCTTGGCACTACAAACTCGTGGGGCCACACAAATTTACAATACCCTTACAACATAGTTGTGTAGGGTGTTCAAATAACGTTTATCTTCTCAACAAATAATACTTGTTTGAAAATTCACAAATCTAGATATCCACATAATACCTTTGCAAATAATTTCTATTGAAATCACATTCTATACGAATTTTATACTTTGTAACAAATATTTCCAGTAATTGAATTAAATCATTTCATATTCCCATGTACACAATAATGACGATCCTGCTGAATATATGTGGCGTATGCGTCATATGTTAATAACTCATACTTTCGTAGTTCATATACTTACGTATATTTAGGTATGTGCGTGTTATAATTGTTGAAATTACAACACCACAACTTAATGAGTTCTCCGAAAATATTTTATTATTCGAGTGGCAATTGTGTTTTTTGTACGAGAAATGAAATAATCTCAATTAAAAATAAATATGTAAATTGTTTAAGTGTTTAATTAGCTATTAAAGCATTAATTAATCTATAGAAATGTGGGCACTCCAATTTCAGGTGAAGAGGGAAAGTGGTTTCCTACAATATTTGCATTGATGGTCTTCATGTAAAAAAAGGAAATCATTTTTTAAATATTTAAATATTTTACAATATCACAACAACCAACTGTCATTTAATCGCAAAGAGTACAAAAAGAGTAAAATGAAATCGTCATTTTTTATTAATATCCTGTAACCATGCAATTATTTTTTGACGTACGGACAACGTGCAAAACGGAAAAGAAAATAATAGCACATTTTTTTTTATACTGCCACTTTAATTCCTTGAGGCTAAATTGCCAAGTGAACTAAAAACACCAACACAATCACACCACGACCATTCGTTTATAAATATGTCATCTTATATGATATTCACATACATATACATTTAGAGTGTGTGTGTGTGTGTATGAATATATTTACAGTGGCCATAATGTATGTATACATGCACGTGTGTGCAATCGTAGACGTCTATGTCAAGGTTACAACAACTCTCATCAGAACCATTATAAAAGAACGATTGTTAGCGATTTGTGGGTATGTATTTGTGTGAAAAACAAAATCAAAGGAAAATTGTGATTTGTCGTGTCATCATTTCACAAGTCTTTTCTATTAATAATTATATTCGATTTAAGGGAACCCCCCCCATTCTCGATTTTTTATTTTTAAGATTTTAAATGGGCTGGTAAATGAATACCAATGCTTGTTAGGGTTTGTAACTTTGCACATATATATTTGAAGATTTAAAGAGGAAGAAAAATAATTTACAAAAAAATTTTGTTGTTGTTTTGTTGTTGTTTTTTGTGATCAAAGAAAAGTCCTTATTTTTGATGGCGGGCATGATAACTCCTCACTGGAACATCGGAATCCGAAAATTCCAACGGTGTTAGAAAGAGTACATGTCTGGCTCTCGTATGAACTAGGATTATTGACTTCGCTCTAAAATTAACAAAATGGCGGACCTTTGAAAAAATATTTTTGGAAAATCGCCGATTTTTTACCAAAAACCAACTTAAAAAATAAGGAAGATCTTCACCGATTGGCGTTATCCTAGTTCATACGATAGCTATACACTCACAGAGAAACGTGTAAAAATTTGAAATCATTGGGTTATTAGTTTTTGAGTTATCGTGCCCGCCATTCGCAAAAAAATGTTTAGAGAAAAACGCGTTTAAAGTTTGAGAAGCCCTTCAGCCGTCACTTGATGCTGACACAATAAATCGGCTATATCTTCAAGAGTTCTTGAGATTTTTACTTGAAATTTTGCAGGGACATTCTTGAATTAGTGTAGATTGGAATTAAGTCAACAAAAATTTTGACCCCGAGAATGGGGGGGGTCCCCTTAAGTGATATGTAGGTGAAAGTTTTAAACGTCTATTAGCTGATATGGAATCAAAATTCGCATGACATGAATAATGAAATCAAGGCTTATATTTGTGATGGTCTCTCCAAAAATATTTTTAATGAAATCCTCCCTTATTTTTTTCATGGTCCCTTCAAACATATTTTTTTCATTTGTAAATAACAATTTTAATTTTTACAATTTTATTGAGTGCACAAAGATATATTTTTTATTTGACCCAGTATTTTAGTTGGTTTTGCCCAAATATTAAACATTCATAGCTAATCCATTAAATAAATCAAAACAACTGCTAGGCTTAACCAAATATAGCTTAAATAATCGGCCCAACTTTGAAAATAAATACAAAAAATGATCCTCCCAAAAAATCAATTGCTAATTCAATTCAATTGGATATTTGTTCGTAGTTTTGATTTCTTTTTTCTTTAATTTTACTTTTATCAAAAACCTTTTAGAACAAATGGCTGGCTGCTTTTATTACATCTTTGCTAGTACTTCAATATGTAAAAATTCTCCAACTATGCTCCTACAAAAAAAAAATCATCTAACTTCTAAACTAACCACTTCTAAACTACCACTACAATAAAAACTTTTTGAAATTTTTAGGCCTCTAAAATCAAGGATCATTTTACCGATAAATCGTTTCGTTATCCCGTCATGTTGCTTGGCAAAAATAAGGATCTAACTGTAGCGGCCACAGGGAACTCGAAAAAAAGATTTTCCAAATATGATAAAGTAAATATAAAATAATAATAAAAAATAACAAAAAATAAATGTCTACATAATCCACAAACCAGAAAATCTTACTAACAAATTGCCAAAGAAAAACTTATGTACCATTTTAACAAAAAAAATATTTAGTTTTGATAAATGGTCCTAAAATGTATTTATTAATTGGCCCTCATACATACTAAATAATTAATCATGTTTCCCCTTTATTTAATCTATACAATAAAATCGAATTTCCAAATATTAATTTTAATGGCAAATATTAAAAAAAAACACATATTTATCTTTGGTTGCATGAATAAAAAATTCGTTACAATTAGTACCAAAAAAATACGTTTCTTCAAAAAATAACAAATAGGTTTTAAAATTGTACGCGTTCTGACAGTAAATACTTGAAATAATTTTCTTTAAAAATCTGCAATTCTTTCTGATAGTTCTTGAAAAAATATTAAAATCAACGCTGCTGATAGATCTTGGGAAAATATTGTGTAGGAAATCTACGATCTTAAATTGTCTACGCGAAAAATCTAAGCTTTTGATAGTCCTTGAAAAAATATCTAAATCGACACTCCTAATAGTTTCAAAAAAAAACTTGTCTCTTGATAGTCCTTGAAAAATCCGATCATGATGGTCTCCGAAAACATATTCTTTAAAAATCTACACTTCCAAAAGTCCTTGCAAAAAATATTCTTTAAAAATCTACGCTTCCGAAAGTCCTTGAAAAAATATTCTTTAAGGAATCTACGCTTCCGGAAGTTCTTTAAAAAATCTACACTTCTGATAAAACTTAAAAAAATATTTTTGAAAATTTTTGCATAAATAAAAAATTCTTTACAATTAGTACCAAAAAAATACGTTCCGTTAAAAATAATAAAAAATAATAATATTTGAAAATTGTACGCGTTCGGATAGTAAATACTTGAAATAACTTTCTTTAAAAATCTGCAATTCTTGCTGATAGTTCTTGAAAAAATATTAAAATCAACGCTGATGATAGTTCTTGGGAAAATATTGTGTAGGAAATCTACGATCTTAAATTGTCTACGCTAAAATCTACGCTTTTGATAGTCCTTGAAAAAGATATCGTTAAAAATCGACACTCCTAATAGTTTCAAAAAAAAACTTGTCTCTTGATAGTCCTTGAAAAATCCGATCATGATGGTCTCCGAAAACATATTCTTTAAAAATCTACACTTCCAAAAGTCCTTGCAAAAAATATTCTTTAAAAATCTACGCTTCCGATAGTCCTTGAAAAATCCGATCCTGATGGTCTCCGAAAACATATTCTTTAAAAATCTACGCTTCCGAAAGTCCTTACCTAAAATATTCTTTAAAAATCTACGCTTCCGAAATTCCTTGAAAAAATATTCTTTAAGGAATCTACGCTTTCGGAAGTTCTTTAAAAAATCTACGCTTCTGATAAACATAAAAAAATATTTTTGAAAACTTTACGCACCTGATAGTCCTTGAATAAAATATTTTTAAAACATTTTAGAAACCTGATTGTTCTTGAAAAATATTTTTTTTTAAATCTTCTCTTCCTATTGCAAAATAGTTTTAGTTAGTCCTTGAAAATTGTATTTAAAAATTTACGCTCTTTATAGACCTTGAAAAAAATATTCTTTAAAAATCTACGCTGCCAATAGTAGTGGAAAAACAATCTTAAACCAATGAGCGGAGCAGTATAGTCGGACGGGGCCGACCATGTGACACCCTACAAAACTACGACGGAGTTCTAACTTTCCGCAGATGTTTATTTCGAGCCTGGGCAATATTTCGTGACATTTGCACTCTCTTGCCCGATTAGAGGTCAACAGCATCTCACATATTTTCCGAATATTATTATTCATATTCAGTACAGATTCCGTTCACCGTGGGTTGTGTTGTGATTTTCGGCCTATTATTGGCAACGTCTCGAAAAAACACAAAAAAAAAATAGTATTCGGTCCACTTCATCCCATAATTATAATCTGATCATCACCGAAAGTTATAGGCGTTGTCCTTGACCATAACTGGAACCTCATGGAAAATTTCAAAGCGATCAGCGCTATATTTCCGCCCTCTAGTGTGGTAATGGGTTACTAAATAATATTTGAGTAGGTAAGCACCTGTAAATATTTAAGCGTAACTCCCACATTCGAGTACATACCACAATATAAATGGTATCAATTTAAAGGTCAACCACTACTCTTGAATATATTATCAACTTTTCGGGTCTATGATCAGAGGTAAATCTATACGCTATAGAATACAAATTTTGTAATTTTTCACACAAAAGTCAGGCTCCATTTGACCCTCTAAATATTGACCGATCTTCATCAAAACAGCCATGCTTATTGTTTGGCCCGATCCCCTTATTCATGTAAAATTTCACGATGTTCGGGCAATAATTGCGCCTCTAGAGCAACCACAAAAACCGAAAAAATTAAGTATTTGGTCCATTTCATCACCTAAATATTAAACGATATTTACCAATAACAATAGGGGTCTTCATTCTACTGAACCCTTCCTACATGCAAAATTTCGTGAAGATTGGTCCATAACTGTGGCCTGTATCGAGTTTACAAATTATAATGGACAGGCGGACCGACGGACGCACACACATGTCGAGATCTACTCAGCTAGTCGAGATATGACAATCGGTATACTTAAAGGTGGATGTAGGACCAATATTTCGCTGCGTTACAAACTTTTGGGGCTGCATAAAGCTATAATACCCTGGCAACATTGTTGTGTAGGGTATAAAAATCTAGGCTTATAAAAGTGCTTGAAAAAACGATCTTTCAAAAACCTACGCTTCAGGTAGTAGTTGTTAATAAACCTACGCTCCATATAGTCCATTTAAAATATTCTTTAAAACCCCTACGCTTTAGATAGTCCTTGGAAAAATATTCTACGCTTGGGAAATGTTTTTTAAAAATATCTAAAAATATATTATAAAAATGTTATTGTAAAAACCTACGCCTCTGATAATACTTAAAAAAAGTTTCGCTATAGATAGTCCCTGAATTTTTTTTTAATTTACCTTATTGATAGTCCTTGAAAAAATATTTTTTGAAAAAATCTACGTTATTCATAGTCCTTGAAAACATAAACAATTTTTAAAAATCTACGGTTCTGAAAGTCTTTGAAACATATTCTTAAAAAAACGATACTTCTGATAGTCCTTAAAAAAACCAAGGTCCCTACTAATAGACATTGGAAAATATTTTTAAGAACCCAAAGATCCTAATAGTCATTGCAAAATTTTATTTAAAAATCTACGCTCCTGATAGTCCTTAAATAAATTTATGCTTCTGATAGCACTTGAATAAATATTCTTAAAAAAACCAAGGCCCCTCCTTATAGTCTTTGAAAAATATTTTTAAGAACCCCATGATCCTAATAGTCCTTGCAAAATTTTATTTAAAAAATCTACGCTCCTGATATTCCTTCTTTAACAAAATCTACGCTTCCAATAGCATTTGAAAAACACTACGCTTCTGGGAGACTTTAAAAAAATGTATGCTTCTGATAGTCCATGAATAAATAATCTTAAAATACCAAGGTCCCCTTATAGTCCTTGAGAAAATATTCTTGAAAAGGCCATTGAAAAACCTTTAAAAATATTATTTTAAAAATGTATGTTCCTTATAAAATTTTAAAGTACATTTTTAAAAAAATATACGCTTTTGATTGTCCTTGAATAACATTCTTTAAAAAATATAAGCTTAAAATAATATTTTTTTTAAATCGAAGCTACTAATTGTCCTTGAAAACAAAATCTTAAAGAATTTAAAGCCCTAAAGTCCTTAAAAATAATTAATTTTAAAATCTACTCATCTGTCTATTGGCAAATATTTTTCAAAAAAATATACGCGTATGATTTTCTATAAAGTAAAAATTAATTAAATTAATTAAAATTAATAAAGTAAAAATTAAATTAAAAGCTGCAAGTCCTTTGATAACTTTTCTTTGGAAAATCCCACTCCAATACCTCTTAAAGATAGTTATGTTAAACCATAACGACTTAAATACTTGCTGTTTTATTTTCATTTTATTTGGAAATTCGATTTTAATTGTTGTCATTTATTCTACATTAATACAATTTAGATTGCCCTCCGTACCCTGTCTATTCAACTTACTTAACCACTCCATTGCATTGCGAAATTTCACACAAATATTTAACTTCCTATTGGTGTACACATTCCGGGACTGTCTTCCATGTTTACTTCCTGTGGTTTCAATATCCATTCTCCGATGGGAAGGATGGGAGATTTGAGTCCACATTGCATGTATCTTAAATTGTTAATTACTTTTATCGATGTTGTTGTTCTTGTCATTGTTAGTTTTAATTGTTATTAAAACAATAATTTATTTAATGTATTCTACGGTTGTTTGTATTCATCTGTGTCTCTCCCTCCCAATCCACCATAGTAGGTGTATGTTATTAAGTTCTCCCCAGTACCCCCAACACTCACACACACACAAATATACCCTGCCATCGTCGCTATTTGAATGGCACTTATTAATTGAATTGAAAAGTAATTTAATTGCAATTTTCTTCTCTTTTATTTTATTTAATTTATTGCTGTTGTTGTTTTTATTGTTGTTATTTGTCATTATCTTGATCTCTGCCGAGCTAGTACATCAATGAAACACATTTACCACTAATTCCGGATGAAGCAATACAATCGCTATCCGAAAGTGATATGCTCAAAGTGGAGAGGCGCATGGAGAGAAGGCGCAAATTTCTGTCGGAGAAATGTTCGGAACTGGGTTTGGATGTGGTGGGTAAGTACGCTAAAGCACTTAATGCACTCTGAATAAATAATTGCATATCGAATGTAATGAATGAAAGATTAAGTGGGACATTTGTTGTTGACTTATATATATATATAAAATTTAATTTAATTATAGGGAATTAAATAACGATTTGAACTGTGTTTAATTAAAAAATCCTTCCACTGATTACTTAATTAAACACAGAAGTTAATTTTATGAAATATTTTAAAGCATATCAAGTATCTGACAAAAAGATCTTCAATACATTACTTTAGCACATTATGGTAGCCCTCTAAAAAGGTTATAACAAAATTAAACGAGCCATGCTATGACAGTTGCCTAACAATATATATTTTTAAAATCCATCTTAAGCTGCTGATAGTCCTTCAAAATTATTTACAAAAAAAAAGCTTCTGATAGTGCTTGGAAAAAATATTCTTTAAAAATCTACAGTTCCGATAGTAAATAAAAGTAGTCCTTAAAAATGTACATTTCTGTAATTTCTTAAAAAAAAAACATTCTTTAAAAAACACTCTGATGTAAGTATATACTCCGTAAAATGTACGTTTCTTATAGTCCCTGTAAAAATACATTCAAGAAATTTACGCTTCTATAAGTCCTTTTACAAATAAGCGCTAAAAATCTACGCTATTTATAATCTTTATAATTATTCCTTAAAACATCTAAATTTCTAATAGTCCTTTAAAACATGTTCTATAATCATCTATGCTTCTCTGACAATCCTTGAACAAAATTATTTAAAACCAGTAAGGAAAGTAGTAAAGTCGGACTGGGCCGACTATATGAAACCCTTCACCACTTTGGGGATATTCTACATATGTATCTTTACAGATGTCGTCTTTTTGAAGGAACATTGACATGAAATTGAACGAACTTAAAAATGCGATCTTTATATAAAAGTAAACCGACTAACATCAATCCTTACACATGCCATTCTGCAATCTATTCCATATTTTGTAAATAGACTTTAAGCTAACTTCACTGTTTATGCTTCACTGTTTAAAATGTAATATCAATCAAGCACCCATTGATTATTTGGTTTACAATCAACAAAAATAGGTCGAAATTATATATGGAAGCTATTCTGTATCTATATCTAAACCGATTTAAAGGAAACTTGGCCGATATTAATTTAATTAATTTCAGTACGTTTTGCCAATCGGCCTAGCTATGGGTCTTTAGTACACCATTTACTTAAAATCGGACGAAAGTATATATAGAGGTTATATGTAAATCTGAACCAATTTCAAGAAAACTTGACACACGAAAGGTTATAGTAACTTCAGTACATTGTACAAAATTGTGTGCGGGTCGGCCAACCTTTGGTTCTTTAGTGCACAATTTACATTAAATCGGACGAAAATATATATGCGAGCTATATCTAAATCTGAACCGATTTTAACACATCATTCTGGATCCAATTCAGTACCCTATGGCAACCTTCGTGCAAATCGAAAGATATATAGGGACTTTGGAGACCCATTTACCTTAAATCGGACGAAAATATATATGGGAGCTATATATAAATCTGAACCGCTTTCCTCGAAACTTGGCACACGTCATTCTTGATCTAATTCAGTACTTTATGCCACACTTCGTGCAAATCGAAAGATATATAGGGACTTTGAAGACCGATTTACATTAAATCGAACGAAAATATATATGGGAGCTATATCTAAATCTGAACCGATTTTCACGAAACTTAGCACACATTATTCTGGACCTAATTCAGTACCCTATGCCAAGTTTCGTGCAAATCGAATGATATATAAGGACTTTGGTGCACCATTTACCTTAAATCGGACGAAACTATATATGGGAGCTATATCTAAAGCTCAACCGATTTTCTCGAAACTTGGCACACATAATTCTGCACCTAATTTAATACTCTGTGCCAAATTTCATGCATATCGAATGATATGTAGAGACTTTGATATATGGGAGCTATATTTAAATCTGAACCGATTTTCTCGAAACTTGGCACAAATCATTCTGGACCTAATTCAGTACTCTGTGCTAAATTTCGTGCCAATCGAGAGATATAGATGGTTTTTGGTACCCCATTTACCTTAAATCGGACGAAAATATATATGGGAGATATATCTATATCTGAACCGATTTTTCCCAATTTCAATAGGCTTCGTCCTTGGGCCAAATAAGTGACTTGTGCCAAATTTCATCTAAATTGGATCATAAATGCGACCTGTACTTTGTATACAATTTAACATTTACAGACGGACAGACGGACGGACATGCATAAATCGACTCAGAAAGTGATTCTATGCATATTCTCAAAAGGAACCATGTGTCTATCTCGTTTCCTTTTGCCTGTTACAAACATATGCACAAAGACATAATACCCTGTACCACAGTGTGGTGAAGGGTATAAAAACTAACTTCCTATAGTCCTTAAAATATATATTTTTAAATTGCTTCTATTAGCCCTTGAAACTAATTTTCTGCAAACAACTAAGCTTCTTTAACCCTTTGAGACCCAATTTTTTCAGTAATCATAGAACAATTTTCTGTTCGCAGATTTAATGCAACTATCCTAGATAGGATATGGACAAAATTTGACATCACTACATCCTTGCATTCGGGAGATACATTACATTCTTTCTGAAAAAAGGCCCAATATCAAGAAGACCAAATGAAAAATCGACGAAAAAATCATTTTAAATTATTCTCTATATTCTGTTTTACAAGAATCAAAAATATGTATGATGGCAGAATTCGTACGAATACGAAGCGATTTAAATAATTTGGACTGTATACACAAATTAGTACTGTACACATATTTTCAATCTTCTCTATATTAAAAAGCTCATAACTTTACCAACAATTTGATTTTGTTAGATTTTATGATGTGTGTAGTCAATAACCAGGTCTTGACATAGGAAATCCAAAGAATGTATATCTACTAGATGTATAATAAATATAAGCTCTAAAACATTTTGTTGCCTGTGGGCAACATTGGCCATAAAGGGTTAAAAATTTAAGTTTGTCCTTCTGATAGACCTTGAACAAATTTCATTTAAAAAACTACACATGATATTTTCTTTGAAAAAATATTCTCTATAAATCAACACTTCTGGTTGTCCTTAAAAATATTCCATATCAAAATTCCGCTTTTGAAAGTCGTTTAAAAAACTACGCTTCTGATTGTCCTTGTAAAAATATTCTTTAAAAAACCACGCTTCTGATGTTTTTTGGACAGAATTCTAAAATATCTACGCTTCTGATAAACTTTGAGAAAAATATTCTTTAAAAAATCTGAGCTTCCGATGGTCCTTAACATTTTCTTTAACCCTTTGAACACCGATTTTTTTCCGCAAACTTAGAACAAATTTCTGTTCACAGATTTAATGCAACTATCGTAAATAGGATATGCACAAAATTTGACATCGGTATATCCTTGCATTCGGGAGATACAGTACATTCTTTCGGAAAAATTAAAATACAATATCTAGAAAACCAAATGCAAAATCGACAAAATCGACGCTTGTGCTATTCCTCGAAAAAATAGTCGTTACCAACACTATGCTTCTGATAGTAGTATAAAAGATTATTTAAAAATCTATGCATCCATAAAATATATTATTTAAAACACCAATAATTCTGGAGGTCCTTGAAAATCATTCCTTACAAAATCTGTACTTCTGAATATCCTTGTAGAAATATCTAAAACCAATGAGCGGAGCAGTATAGTCGGACGGGGCCGACCAAACGATAACCTACACAGCTACCACGGAACTCTAATTTTCTGCGGATGTTTATTCCAAGCCTGGGCAATATTTCGTGATATTTAATCAATCTGGCCCGATTAGAGGTCAACAGCACCTTTTTCTTACACTGACATATTTTCCGAATATTACTATTCATATTCAGTACAGCCATTCTAATAAACTGTCCAGATTCCCTTCACCGTGGTCTGTGTAGTGATGTTCGGCCTATTATTGGTATCGGCTCAAAAAACACAAAAAATTACGTTTTTGGTCTACTTCATCCCAATATTATAATCTGATCATCACCGAAAATTATAGGCGTTGTCCTTGACCATAACTGAAACCTCATGCAAAATTTAAAAACGATCAGCGCTATATTTCCGCCCTCTAGTGTGGTAATAGGTTATTAAATAATATCTGAATACGTAAGCACCTGCACATGTTTAAGTGTAACTCCCACATACGAGAACATTCGACAATATAATTTGTATCAATTTAAAGGTCATACACTTCTCTTGGATATACTATCAACTTCTCTGGTCTATGTCCTTCAGGAGTAAATATATACGCTATAGAATACAAATTTTGTAATTTTTCACACAAAAGGCAGGGTCCATTTGACTCACTAAATATTGACCGATCTTTATCAAAACAGGCATGCTTATTCTTTGGCCCGCGATGTTTGGACCATAATTGCGGCCTCTGGAGCGACCAGAAAATCAAACAAAAATAAAGTTGTTGGTCCATTTCATCCCCTAAATATTAACCGATCTTTACCAAAAACAATAGGGATCATCATTGGCCAGAACCCATCCTACATGCAAAATTTCGTGTTTACAAATTATAATGGACAGACGGACGGACACACATGTCTAAATCGACTCAGCTGGTCGAGATATGATATACTTAAAGTGTATGTATACTTAAAGATGGGTCTTGGGCCTGCACAAAGCTATAATACCCTGACAACATAGTTGTGTAGGGTATAAAAATTGTGCATCGATTGTTCTCAAAAAAAAATGTTCACAGTTCATAACAAATATTAAAAAATCCACGCTTGTAGTCCCGATATTCCTTGAAAAATATTTATATTTATTTTTCAAATCTAAGTCAGAACCCTAATATTCATTTCAAATTTTCAGGTATGTATATATTCCCAAAATCCTTGAAAAGTATTATTTGAAAAAAATATGTTCTTAAAATAATCGTTTATAGGCCTGAAGTCATCCATGTATATCAAACACCATTCCTTATTTATTACATTTGTTTTAGTCTTTTCCTGAAATATGATATTTCCTCGTATGTATGCACCTCCACCAACCGTTACCATCTGCATACGAAATCTCAACCACCTGCCATAAGTTAGTTGGTTTGTGACCTACCTTACACAACATGCCATGCCATACCATGCAGCTACAATTCATTCAATAATATAATTAACTGTCTCTTGTGTACAGGTTAAATGTTCCCACAGCCCTAGTTACCAATTGCGAAAGCATTCACGATAACATCGGAAATACACAGATTCAATTTACTCGACCGTGTATACTCGCATACGACCGAGTATGCAGCTGCTATATGGGGACAAGTTTAATGTGTCAATAATAGAGGATATTGAATTTGCAAACGAGCATCCTTACTTACATTTCACATATTTACACATTGTCGTTACATTGCACAGACAAATCTACACACACACACACTTGTCCTTGCTGTCGTCCACATATATGGAAGGCATAGTTTTGCAACAAAACTGTAACATCGTCATCATTATCATAGCCAGGCATCATATTGGCCTTATGCAAATATCCTGTTCATTTAAATCCGCAAAAGGATTTATGAATACGATGAGAATGAAATGTATATACAGCTACGTGTTTTTTTTTTTTCTTCTTTGTCACATTTATGTGTGAGTGTTTGTTGCTGTATGCATACATATGTTTTGCGACAAGTATGTGAATGTGTTACACACTGAATGTAAATTGAAAGAACTAACCCAAATTCGGATGCAATGAACGAAGCGAATTAAAATACAGTATAAACTTGATAATCCGGACCTCGACAATCCGGATTATTCGGTAATCAGGACTGCATTTCACAACCCATTGCGTATCCTATAATCCGGATTGATTGACCTATTTGACTCAAAAATCCGGATTGTAAAGATACGTTACTTTTTATTTTAAGAAAAAATCGTTGCAAATTTAATTGAAAATGGTACCTATTATATTCAAAGTTCATATTTTTGAAATGAATAATTCTCATTTTTAATAAAAACATAAAAATAATTAAATTATCACCAAATTAATATAAATTTAAACCAATTAATAAAACTCGATAATCCGGAAATCTCGGTAATCCGGATTGGGGTCTGCAATCAATTATCCGGATTAGCGAGTTTTAACTGTACTTCCTTATTCAGAAAACAATGAATGAATGCAAATGTATGTGCATGTATGTGGAAATAAAATATTAATAAGATATTTAATAAGATATTTAATATTTAATATGACACAAATCCGTGATTTCTTATTCTGTATGGAAACATGCATAGGCTTATCCATGCTATAATATTTGGTCTACTCCCGTACTGCATGAAACTACTAGTTTTTTACTAGTTTTTCGATGTCATAAAGGAAATACTGTTATCGTAGTAAAAACTAGTAAATGCTTGCAGTAAAATATTTTTGTTCATTGAACTCTGAGATGATGTTTCTCATATAAGAATTTTGTGATATTTTGAATCCATGTTAATCCTTGGGGAATATAGATACATATACGAAAGTCTCATGTAACTCTGTTTGAGAAGCACACTTGTTGAGAATTTCACTAGAAATTTGAAATTATTGAATTAGTTTAGATTCGAATTAAACAGAAAACAAAAATTCAATTTTTTGAAACCGAGAATGGAGGGTACCCTTCAACCGACAGTATAGAGAAGAAGTTTCTTAGTCGAGGAATTACCACCACAAGTTACGAAAGAAGATTTTGCAGATATTTTCCAATGCATTGACTCCAGGTGCTTAGGATAAACCAGGAGTGGAGTGTTCATCATGAGCCCCCAATTTGTGGTAAGTTGCCAACATACTTTTTGAACGGCGCAATCGAATAGTCATTGTGACTCTTGACGAATTGAAGGCTTTCGATCTTTCTAAATATTTTGATGACATAGATAACTTCCGTCCATTGGAAGGGTTGAATAATCAATGCAATTCAGAAACAGGAATTCGAAAATATGTTGTGTGAAACTCTCTCTTCTTCGGAGAGTTCTACTTTTCTATATTCCGCAATAGTACCGCAAGTAAATACCGCAATAAATATAGATCATAATGTATGCGGATGAGTATACGATCATGGTGTCTACGATAAATTACATACGTTGCTGATCCTGTGAGTTTTTGGAGAATATAAAAAAAAAATATCCGCACACCGTTCACCACATGGGTGGCTAAAATTAAGTTCCCGCTGAACTGAATGGAAAGAGATTTCTACCATCAGTTACCCCACGATATGGGATGTAAAGTTGAACAGTAGTCAGGAAACGAGATAGACACATGGTTCCTTTTGATAATATGCATACCATCACTTTCTGAGTCGATTTATGCATGTCCGTCTGTCCGTCGTCTGTCTGTAGATTTTAATTTTAAACAAAATACAGGTCGCATTTACGACCCGATTTGGATGAAATTTGGCACAAGTCACTTATTTGGCCCAAGAACAAACCTTATTGATATTGGGAAAAATCGGTTCAGATTTATATATAGCTCCCATATATATTTTCGTCCGATTTAAGCCAAATGGGGAACCAAAGTCCCTCTATATCTTAAATTAGGTCCAGAATTGTGTGTGTCAAGTTTCGATAAAATAGGTTCAGATTTAGATATAGCTCTTATATATATTGCTTCTTCCGATTTAAGGTAAATGGTGTACCAAAGTCCCTTAATATCATTTGATTTGCACGAAATTTGGCACAGCATAATGAATTAGGTATAGAATGATGTGCGCAAAGTTTCGTGGAAATCGGTTCAGATTTAAATATAGCTCCCATATATATTTTCGTCCGATTTAAGGTAAATGGTGTAACAAAGTCCCTTAATATCATTCGATTTGCACGACATTTGGAGCAGCGTAATGAATTAGGCCTAGAATAATGAGTGCTAAGTTTCGTGAAAGTCGGTTCAGATTTAGATATAGATCCCATATATATTTTCGTCCGATTTAACGTAGATGGTGTACCAAAGACCCTTAATATCTTTCGAATTGCACAAAATTTGGTACAGCATAATGAATTAGGTCTAGAATGATGTGTGCTAAGTTTCGTGAAAATCGGTTCAGATTTAGATATAGCTCCCTATATATTTTCGTCCGATTTAAGGTAGATGGTGTACCAAAGACCCTTAATATCTTTCGATTTGCACAAAATTTGGTGCAGCATAATGAATTAGGTCTAGAATGATGTGTGCCAAGTTTCGTGGAAATCGGTTCAGATTTAGATATAGCTTCCACATATAGATTATATTTTTAACAACACGGCGTACCGAATAGCCTGTAACAATTTTGCTATAAATCGTTTTTCATAAATTTTCCCCATTTTACGCAGACGGCTCTAAATCTGCTCGAATGAAATTGAAGTTAGGATAGGTTGGGGAAAGAGGGATCATAGACATGCAATTGTTAGGACATATATGCACAATATACCCAAAGTGGCGAAGGGTATCACATAGTCGGCCCAGTCCGACTTTACTACTTTCCTTACTGGTTTTCTATTATTTGCGGCGTAGACAAGGAGACCACGTTGACCTGTTCAAAAGGAATAGATCGGTCATTGGTAAACAATCCCGCTATATAGTTTCTTAGGTAGTTTTAAAGGCCGCTATATAGTATTAAAGACTTGGAAACCATTATGTCGGTGTTGATATTAGTATTCCTGTTGTCAACTGGGCGCCATTTCGATTCTCCGTTATCGGTTGTTGACCGTTGCCAAACAATTCCTCCCAGTGATTTTCTAGATTATGTTGATTTAATTAGATTTGTTGGGCTGTTATATGTAGGCGTGTCTTAAACAAAACGGTTCTGTCAAGGATTTGGCCCAGGTATTTTGGATTGAAGTTATCGGAGAGAACATACTCATTGAGGAAAAATTTTAGTTTCGCATCAATATGCAGGAGTTGGAAGCTACACACTTCGGTTTTCTATAGACTGGATTTTAGCCTCCATCTACGGGAGATTATTGATTGTATTTATTTAATTCTTTATTTTAATTTGTATACATTCCACCATTAATTTTTATCCATTTCTTAATTGCAGGTAATGATTCCTGGCATAAACCCAATCCATGGGAATTTTTGGTCAATAAAAAACATCATATAATATGGTAAGTTAGCCCATCCCTATTAAATATTTTCTAATCTAAAATTTTCGTTTGTGTCTCCCCAGGTGTAACGTTTTCAAAGCTGCCTCCTCCTCATGGATGTATAATTTTAATGTACTGGCCGGATATTCGCCAGAATTTTTGCGCAAAACCAAAGAGATATTTTTGCACTTAGCACGTGAACGTTACCCACGGGTTACTTTAGATGAGGTGAGTTGGGAAATAGCTTTTTCAAAAGTTAAAATCGACTTCTTTTTTCCATAAATTAAAAGACACAAAGGTTCACTTATTTCCATATCACATTTTATTTAAATATTTTCTTTATCGTTTTTTTTTTTTTTTTTTTTTTGATTGACAATCCGATAACAAATTGTTTATTTTATCCTTACATTCAATCTCTGCCTGTTCTACATTCCGTTGCCCTTTATTTTTGATGCGCCCTTAAATGCCCTTTGACAGTTCATTAATATTGTGAATGTAAAAAGTACTCGAAAGTAAATTATCTCTTAATTACACTTTATTACAATTTCCTTTTTTTATTTTCATCTTTTTCGATTCCTCTTTGTCCTCGCCACGCCAACATACTACAGCTACACGAGGCCCAAAACAATTCTGTGACCTTTTTAATAGCTCGCCATCCTTTTGAGAGGCTATTGAGCGCTTATCGCGATAAATTCGTGTATGCCATACCACATTCACTGCACGATAAGTTCGGTCGGAAAATAGTGCGAACATACAGGAAAAAGGTTAGTAATAAGACAATGTGCAAAATAAAATCAATAATTATGTTGCATTAATTTACTTCTTTCGCTGTTTTTCAGAGTCTACAATTAAAGCCACCGAAATATCCAACATTCCAAGAATTCGTACGCTGGCTATTGGATCAAATCAAGCATGACAATTATCTGGACATGCATTTTGTTTCGTATACTCGATTTTGTACACCGTGCCTCATACATTTCGATGTCATATTGAAATTTGAAACCCTGGAAGAGGATCAATTATATTTGATCGAAAAGACTGGTCTGAAACAAATAATAGCGCCCGAATGGCAAAATCCCGGAAAGGGGAAGAATACATTGGACCTATTGCAACAATTCTATTCGAAATTAACGAGAACAGAGATCGATGGACTGTATGATTATTATAGGTAAATATTTTATAAATTAAAAACGATTTTTCGATACAATGCATATTAGTGCGGAAACCGATTTTTCCATATTAATAAACTTTTGACGTTTTAAATCTAAATCGGAAAGATACCGCCATATTTTGATATAGATTTTGCATATGCATTTTTACTACACCTATGATGTTTTGGTATAGTCCCCCAATTACCACCCAATATTCTGTATGTTGCGGTAAATACCAAGTTTAGGTAAATATCATATGATGGAACAACCGGAGTTTCATTATATTGTCCGTGAACCATATAGACACCGCGTAGCTATTTACAGAACGAACAATCAAATTCTAAGACGTCAACGAGGTTTCTTTCTCTGCGTCCCTAGTTTATCTTCGAGCCCATGTGTTAAAAAGGGGGACCATAGGTTTTGTGTCTGATATTTCCGAATGTATCAGTTCAGCTTAGAGAATACGCTGTTCACTCTACTTACACTATTATTCGCTAGAGTTGTCTGGAAGAAAGTATTCTCAATGTCCTCAAACGATAAGGAATGATGGTTCAAAAAAATCAGGGTCTGTTCTATTATTTGAGGATGACATAAGACAGGGTTGGGCAGTGTTGTTGCGATAACTATCCCTAACGCTGGGTAGAAGTAATGCCTCTGAATTCGTTGCTACTGGTGATAATAATGATGTTGCCTGTATGATTCCCCTCCACCCGACTTCATTTGCGAAATAGTTTTGCATATTTCCAGCCTTCGTGATAGATAATCCAAAACTCGCTTATCCTACTGTCCCATAAAGATATGGCACGGAACCAGTGCTTTAAATGATACCCCATTTTCGGAGAATAGATTTAATACGATTCGCATTTAATTTTGGATGGATACAGTAATCGGCAGCAAAACCAGAAGAAACTGATTGTTCTGGTTTTGCTGCCGATTACTGTATTGCTTACGGAACCTACGATGATGATTTGCTACTGAATAACGAACCCTGATGCTGAGTAAAAATAATGCCTTGAAAGCCTTTGCTACTGGAGGCAAATATGAAATTAGGTCTATTATTCTCCTCTGGTGGCACCTTTACCTTGTCAGGCTTCGAAACCATGTATGTGGTTATCAACAGATTGAATCATTTAGCGATGTACTCGACTCCCGACCAATATATGAAGTTAAGTAATATCGTTCCTCTATATGAAGGTTATACAATAAGGAAATGGTAGGTTATTGATAATTCCGGATGTATAGGTTTTTGGGAAATTTTTGGGATTCTGACCCTTCTGGATTATTCCATAGCACCACTTCCGAATGTCTAAAACGGTTCGATATTTTTCAATTCAATCCACAAAGTTCAATCGGTCACGCGATTTCATTCGGTCAATGAAGATCGGTCGGGACGATCTAGATGAGAGATTACATCGAAAGGTACTAGATGAACGAAAGAGCCGGATCTAACTACCAATTGTTCTGCTTCGGAAAAGTTCCTTTGAATTAGTTTCGGAACTACACAACTAATAAGTTCAATCGGTCACGCGAGTTCATTCGGTCTATGAAGATCGGTCGGGACGATCTAGATGAGAGATTACATCAAAAGGTACTAAATGAACGAAAGAACCGGACCTAATTACCAATCGTTCTGCTTCGGAATAGTTCCTTTGAATTAGTTCGTTCCGGAACTACACAACTAATAACTTTATATTTTGATGTAAACAACGTTCAACCCAACTTCACGTTTGGATTCTTCCGAAATTCGGTCAATGTGTATTTTATTTTGAGGCATCTGAAAAGTATTATCAAACTAAAGATTTCTTATTTCTTTTTTTACCATTACAGATACGATTTTGAACTCTTCAATTATAGTGCGACATCATATTTTAATATAGCCCGCTCGAATGAGGAAGATACTCCGGAACAGTCCGTGTTATTATTGGGAAAACCTTCTGCGCCTTGAAAAATATAAAGAGACGTTGCATTAGCTATTTCCTCGCATCACAAATTACAAAAAAAAAACAAAAGACTACAACACACTTCTCTGGAAGAGAGTGAATATCACACGCTTCTCTCAATTGATTAAAGAGAGGAATTATTAAAGGATTTGCAAATAAAAATAAAAATATCCAGGAAACAAACAAATAGTTTTGCTAACACATCTATCTCTCTCGCGCTCTCTAATCAGATGACACTTTAAAAGGGTTGTTCACATTATATGATTTTCTTGAGAAACATGACACATGCGTCGATAACAACGATATCATGTGGTATCGTAAGAATGTTTTTGGCGCCCAACCTATTCAATATTGGATATGGATTCGTTTAGCATTTAAAGCATATAATCCGAATAAACCCGATCAAAAAGTACTGCTATCGTCCATTAAAACAACGCTAGTTTTATATGCATTTCTCTCTATCGATATATATACACACATATACTGTAGTTAAATTATTTATATATTATTTAACAAATGTAGTGCGTTAATCGAAAATAAAAGCTTTCGAATCTCAAATGCTAGCTATTTTCGAACTATTGCAATACAAACAAAAAAATACTAAAACCAAATATCGAAAATTGAAAATAAATTGTAGACAATGAAAATGTGACAAATAGAAGGTCGAAACCCAGAAAAAAACATGCAGAAGACATAATACAACAAATGGTTACAATAATATTTATTAAGCGTCAATAAATAATGAAATAAACAATTGTAGAAATTAACATTTTAAGAAGAAGAAGATAATAAAGTAAAACAATTAATTTACGAAATATCACGCATAGCGCTTTTTACTTACCTTGAAATTGAATTGAAAATGTACTAGAAAATCCCAGTTATTTATATGTATTTATATATGACTATTGTTATTTTTTAATTAATTTATTTATTAAATTGGTAATGTAAAAGAATGAAACACGAATGTAGATGAATAAAAAAAGAAATTATGAAAACTAAAATAAATTACGTTTTTTTTACTTTATTTCTAAAATATACAGATCAATCATGAATACCAAATCCGTTAGGAAGATTTCTCTTTTCATTTTCCTTCCATCATGAATAATAAACTGCGCAAGTAGAATCAATCCTCATAGAGAGAAGTAGGTATCATGAACGCTCTTAAACTTGGGTTTTCCTTTAGAAAAAAAACTCACAAAACTAATTAGAGTTGGCAAAATACTTATAAAATCAACACTTTAATTGATTGTGTAGCAAAAAACACAATTAGAAATCAATGAATATGCTTAAAAATAATTTTTGGTTGCAAATCAGGGTCATGGCATAATTATACAAGGTGGTCTCATGCAGTCATATGTTTTCAAAATTTTCATAAATTTACCTTTGACAGTATTCAGCTTTCAAAATTTAAATGAAAATATCTTCCTTCGAAATGTGCGCATGTCATGTGTTCAGTGGCAAAAATTATTAAATAATTTTTATATTTCTAAATATATTGAAGTTCCCTGTGACGGAACAGATTAGTGCAATAAATTTAGAATTTATGTATGTAATTTATATTACAAATAGTACGTGTTTTATTTAGAAAATTTATTATTTATTATTGGTAGATTGTTATTAGTAATTTGTGTGTTAGTAAGAGTTGCATTTTTAACGCTTTTAGAACGAAAAGTATTAGGATATATCCAAATTCGTAAGGGTCCTTCGAAATGTGCGCATGTCATGTGTTCAGTGGCAAAAATTATTAAATAATTTTTATATTTCTAAATATATTGAAGTATATTGTGACGGAACAAAAAAAATAATTTACGACTTAAAATTCATTTTTTGGAATAGTGATTGAAGAGTTTGTCATACACTAGTCAATCTCACATATACAAAAAGGGGTTCATCGGCATGATGTATAGTGTTGGCGTGATACCGTGTAGCAGTGAAACCCCAAAAATAAAGAAAAGAAAAACGAAAGATAGTTTAGTAAATATTTTCAATCTTTATTGTAAAGTTAATGGGTTTCGTAGAAACAAGACTTTACCTTTGCGTGCGTTAACGACGATAGCGAGAGATGTTTATTCTACGAGAACGATAATGCAAGAGTTTACTCTACGAGAGTTCGAAAGCAAGTTTAATCAACGAGAGTTAAAAAGCAAGTGATGTTGCGATGGGCAAGAAAGCTACAGCAAGGCCGTGATCAACAACTACGACCACAGCATTGGAAAGCGCCTCTCTGCATCCGAACTAAGCGAATGTGGCTTCCAGGAGATATAGTAGAAGAGAGCGAACTCTCCCCTACAATCCGAATAGGTATAGTAGTTCAGTTTTATTGAGCAGGAGCGGATATAATTCAATTTGAGATTATCTATTTTTCGACTATTTTGACAAAAAGAATACACGATGAAGTTATTCTTTACTATTTACAACTAATTTAGTCTCTGGTCGACGAACAATTCTTGTTGGACCTAAGTGATTGCTCATGACAGAGCACAACGAATTATTGAAATTGCATATTAGCTAAGTATATTTCGATTTTTTTTCTATTGTGGAATTGAAGTAAATATAACAAATTCTAACTAGAGAAGTCTATTGATAAGACTTAGAGGGAAATCGACTATTAATGGTTAAGGTGGCGAACGAGGAAGAGCGACTAGATAGATGTAAGTTGAACCGTATC